CTCAGCTACTTGGGAGGCTGAGGCAAAAGATTAGTTGAGCAGGGGAATGTGAGGTTGCTGTGAGCTAGGCTGACACCACAGCACTCTAGCCTAGGCAACAGAGTGAGACTCTGTGTCAAAAAATATATATATTTTCTCTTTTTTTTAGTATACTAAAAGCAGGACAAAACTGGAGCATTTGCCAATTAGGGGATTTGACTGCTCCATGCTATAAATCCTAGCTCTTATGTGTGCTATGTTGTTTCTTTTTTTTTTATGTTTTTTTTGAGACAGAGTCCTCCGTTTTTGCCTAGGGCTAGAGTGAGTGCCATGCGTCAGCCAGTCCAAGCAAGCCTCAACTCTCCTGCTCCAACAATCTCTGCTCAGCCTCCCAAGTCAGCTGGGACTACAGGCATGCGCCACCATGCCCCGGCTTTTTTTATATATATTATTATATTAGTGCAAATTAATTTCTTCTATTTATAGTAGAGACGGGGTCTCGCTCTTGCTCAGGCTGGTTTCGAACTCCTGACCTCGAGCGATCTGCCCACCTTGACCTCCCAGAGTGCTAAGATTACAGGCGTGAGCCACCTCGCCCGGCCTGTGTTGCTAAATTCTAGGTGTTTCTTGGGTTCTTTAATTCTTCAAAATCAATCCCAGGGCACAGTATGGGTCAAGGTGCTAGGACCCTGGAGAAGACAGTTGTTGTTATGATTATTATTTCACTTTAAGTCTCATCCTTCCTGAGGCCTTGTTTTCTCAGGCCTCTGTCCAAAGGAATGATGGATATGCTGTTCTTTGTATTTTACATATGAAAGCACATTAAAACTTTCTCTCAGCCAGACATGGTGGCTCAAGGCTGTAATCCTAACACTCTGGGAGGCCGAGGAGGGTGGATTGCTCGAGGTCATTAGTTGGAAACCAGCTCTGAGCAAGAGTGAGACTCGTATCTACTATAACTAGAAAGAAATTAATTGACCAACTGAAAACATATAGAAAAAATTAGCCGGGCATGGTGGCACATGCCTGTAGTACCAGCTACTCGGGAGGCTGAGGCAGGAGATCGCTTGAGCCCAGGATTGAGGCGTTGCTGGAGCGAGGCTGAAACCATGCACTCACTCTACCTGGGCAACAAGTGAGACTTTGTCTCAAAAAAAATAATAATGGCTGGCACAGTGGCTCACGCCTGTAATCCTAGCACTCTGGAGGCCCGAGGTGGCGGACGCCGAGTCAGGAGTTTGAAAACCCAGCCTAGAGCAAGAGCAGACCCGTCTCTACTATAAATAGTAAAGAAATTAATTGGCCAACTAATATATAAGGAAAAATTAGCCGCCCTGTGTGCGCATGCCGGTAGTCCCAGCTACTCGGGAGGCTGAGGCAGCAGGATTGCTTGAGCCCAGGAGTTGGAGGTTGCGTGAGCTAGGCCACGATCCACGCAAACTCTAGACTGGGCAACAAAGCGAGACTGTCTCAAAAAATAAATAAATAAATAAAAATAAACTTTTCTCTCTTGCAAATGTTCCTCACCCTACCCTTCTTTGTTGAGCCCTTAATACCTATCTGAATGCTGTTTTCGGTAAATCCCCAAGTTTCCAGGCCTGCTCCACCCCAAGGTTCTTTGACCACCTGGTAGACTGCACCAGGGCCTGGGTCTGGGCCTCCCTCTCTAAGTTGCAGCCTCAGAGGCCTTTCTGGAGTGTAAAGGGGACCCTGCCACTGCTCCTTCCCCACCCCAAGTGGGTCCCATTTCCTCTCTGTCCCCTCAGAAGGGCTCAATCCCCTGCTGCTGCCACTTGCTTTGAGGGACCCTCCCACTCAGCCTTCACCTCTATCTGCCTGATACCAGGATGGATTTGTTTGTTTTTTTAGAGACAGCGTCTCACTCAGTCATCCAGGCTGGAGTGCAGTGGTATAGCTCATTGTCACCTCCAACTCCTGGGCTCACGGGATCCTCCTGCCTCAGCCTCCAGAGTAGCTGGGACTACAGGCGTGCACCACTAAGTCCAACTATTTTTTTTTTTTAAATTTTTTTTTTGTAGAGACAGGGTCTCATCTCGACTGGTCTTAAACTCCTGGATTCAAGCAATCCTCTGTCCTCGGCCTCTCAGAGTGCTGGGATTACAGTCTTGAGCCACCACACCCAGCTCCAGGAAGCATGTCTGCCAGGATATTCTTAGAGTCTTCTCTCAGACCTGGATCTGGGGACCTGCATCCCACACCTGGAACAGCCATCTGTTCTCTGACCCATGCTGTCCTGCAATAATTGTTTTCTCAAGGCTTGTGACTCTGGAAGCCACAGTTCTCACCTCCCTTGGCTGCCTAAGAGGGATCAGGGTTTGGGTTTCTTCTTTCTACACCCATCCTAGCCTTATCCTCCCAGCTTCTTCCCTTGGAGCTGAGACTTCTCTAAAGCCACCTGTGTCCTCTCCTTCCTACCCTGAATCTGTCCCTTTCTGCCCTTCCCTGCTGAGACCAGAGCACCATTGCTGACTGCTGGGTCTCCTGGCTTTGCAACCCCACTAGGTCTTATCATCTAGTGATGTAGCCATCATAACAGGCTTTTTTTTTTTTTTTTTTGAGACAGATTCTCGCTCTGTCACCCTGGCTAGAATGCAGTGGCATCATCATAGCTCACAGCAACCAAACTCTTGGGCTCAAGGGATCCCCCTGCCTCAGCCTCCCGAGTAGCTGGGTGGGACTACAGGTGTGCCCGGCTAATTTTTCTATTTTGAGTAGACATGGGGTCTCATTCTTGCTCAGGCTGTTCCCCGAACTCCCGAGCTCAAGTGATCCTCCCACCTTGGCCTTTCAGAGTGCTAGGATTACAGACTTGAGCCACCTCGGCCAGACCAGAATCGTCTATTTTAAGGTCAGCTAATTTAACAACCTTAATTACATCTGCACAGCCCCCTTCACCAGGTAGTGTAACTAGGGATAGGTGATATATTTTGGATTTGGACATGGAATCTTGAGGGGGAGCATTTTCAGAATTCTGCCCCCCTCATACCAACTTGCAATGTCCCAGAATCCCACAATCCCACAGGGTCAAGATCAGTGGAGGTCCAGTGCAGGGTGAAGTGGCTGTCTGTTCCTGTCTGTAGTGCAGCAGCAGGTGCCAAGATGAAGGACACAGATGAACCCCTACCCTCACAGACCTTGCAACAGAAGATGAAGGGGAGCCTTGAGGACAAGGAAGGCCCTGGGGGAGGTGGTGGCATGTTAGCTGTGTGATAGGATACTACAGCCAGAGGGAACTGCACAGGTCAGCCTCAAATTGGGTACGTCAAGGGGCCTGTGAGGCTGAAGAAGAATACACAGCCACAAAGAGAGGACGACAGGGGGTTGTCAAGGTTGATGGGAACAGACCCAATAGGTCCAGCCCATCATGGGGTGGGGCTCAGAGTCTGAACAGAGACAATGAAGGCAGGCCATGAGACTTGTGTTTTAATGAGGTTCCCCACCTGGAATATACTTTCCCCTCCCTGACCTCCAAACACCACATCTACAATACAGCCACCCAGCAGCTGCCTTGAGTGAAGGACAGGTATCCTGACCTTATCTCCCTCTTGGAGGCTGAGAGCCTCATGCTGGACTCCATACCTGCTGCATAAGGTATAGGGTCCACTGAGGCCCTGTGATCTTCTGACCTTGAAGTCCAGGCCTTTTTCTCTCTCTCCAGCCCCAATGGTGCCTGCCTCCACAAAGTGGCCAAGGGACTACTCACAAAAGTAGAGCACAAAGCAATGCCAGCCCACCACCTCATGGGTGAGATTCATGGGTGCCTCAGACAGCCAGCCCCATTTCAGGGCTTTTGCAGATCAAGGCTGTTCCCTCTGCCTGGACAGCTCTTCCCACAGATTCTCTCCATTATGGTCTTCTGCTCTTTGGTTTCTGGCTGATTACCACCTCATCTCACCCCCACATTCCCTTTCTTTTCTGACCTCGGGCACAAGTTGAGGAGCATAGGAAGGATTTAGTTCAATATCCATTCGTTATTTGTTGTCCTTGCCCAGGGTAGGTGGGCCTAGTGGTCTAGGGGTGGCGGCATTGGGTAAGGCTGTCTCCATCTTGTGAGTGGGACTTAGGCTCAGGGGCGGAAGTGAGGAGCCAGGGCCACAGTGGGGTCCGCTCCACATCTCACCCACAGCCAGAGGTCCTGGGGGGAAGCTACAGGTGTATGTCACCTGCGCCACAAGTGGGGCTGGGGTCCAACAGGCCAGGGGCGAGACCTACTTATGGGTCTACGCATGTTATAGGAAGAAGGGCGCTTCGTGGGTCAAGGTGGGGTTTAAAGCAGCCGGGTGTGGTGGCACGTGCCTGTAGTACCTGCTACTCCGGAGGCTGGTGCCCGAGGATTGCTTGAGTCCAGCAGTTGGAGGCTGCAGTGAGCTACGATTGCACCACGCACTCTAGCCTGGGCAACAGACCGAGACCTCATCTCTAAAAACGTAAGAAAGTAAAGGAAGAAAGAAACAAACAAAATAAAAAACAAACAAATAAGTAAACAAGATAATAACAAATAAATCGGGCAGGTCGGGAGGCTTGGGCCGGCCCTGCCTACTCAACCTACATTACTGCGCGCCAGCGGAATCACGGCAGGCCCTGCCCCCGCCCTAATCCCCAGGACCACGCCGGAAGTGTGCTCTGGTCCATTGGTTCCTCGCACCGCGGCAGCCCCAGCTTGTGCGACTTTGGTTCCGCCTCTGAGAAGAGTCAGAGGTGTGGCCTGCCGACGACTGCGGCACCTGATCGTCGTAAAAATACGGGAAACGTGCTACGGTTTAGGGTTTCCCCCTGCGCCGCCGCGGTCCAGGGCTTCGGTTCCGCTGGCGTCGCGGCTCGGAAGTACAGCCTTGGCGTTGGTGAGCAGGAGGCGGCCACGACCGGGCCTGGTGCCTGAGGAGGAGCTGGAGGTGGGGTCGGGCGGGCATCCCCCTACCTCGGCGCCGGCGGGGAGGCTAGGGCGTGCCAGGGGAGGGGCGCCCGCGTTACGCTCGAGAGCACGCTACGAACGCGAGAGGGCGCTGCAGGATCGGGGCGCAGCGCGGACAAGGGTGTGGAGGCGGGAAACCTAGGTTGGCGGGAGTGGAGCGGGTGCAGCAGTTGCCGATCAGCGAGGGGACTCTGGGCTCAGGCCAGGACGCGAGCAATGGCGCAGAGTACGGGAGACGGGGCTCAGAGCAAAGTCCACTGCGTGGGCGAAGGCGTGGCGGCGAGTATGCGGCGCCAGACCCCGGAGGGTGGGCCTGGGAGTCAGGTCTTAAAGGTAGCCCTTTGTTCTGAGGCATCCAAGAAAGCCCTGCTGCATCTGGACTGAGGAATCGGAGCCCGCCAGGGAGCAAGGTGGGGGCGGGTCGGAAAAGGAAGGATTCAAGCCCTGCGGGTTGATGCACAGGTTTCTGTCTCCATCGCCCAGACACAGATTTGAAGTCCTTCAGATGCTAGGTGAATAAAGATTGGGAACAGTGCTGCTTTCAGAGGTAAAGCCTTTGCACGTGTAAAGGCTTGTCTTATTTAAGGAACTGCAATGAATACATCACCATAGAGTACTCTGAGCGGGGGCAGGGTGGTGTGTGTCCCGGTGTTAGGTCTGATTAGGCTCCCTCTGGCTGCTGCATGGGGAATAGAACCGGCAGACGGGACCGGCCAAGAGGTTACCTCATCAAACCATGACAGCAGCAACCGGGACAGTGGAGGTGTGCAAAGTGGTCTGAAGGGTTATCTGTGGTGCATGCAAGAAAGGGAGGGGTCTTACTGGAGCAAAAGGAAGGCGGTTTGGGCATAAGCAGCCAGAAGCGTTGTCTGAGACACCGATAGACCCCAGAGTGTAGGGGAGGATTAAGTGTGCCCCACTCGGGGGTTGTGTGACCCCAAGGGAGAGGCAGGCTGGTGGAGAGTGTATGGATATCAGGGTGCATCCTGTGCCTGGATTCTTCTCTCTTAGACTGGAGGTGTGGTGCCAGAATCTGCATTTGGGATGAGCGAGTATCCTAATCCCTTGTTTGATAGAAGGGGAAACAGAGGCTGAATGACTGTGGGGTCACCTGGCTTGATGGGTGTAGTAGCAGAGCTTCTCAGATTCCCAGAGTCCCCTAGGACTACCCTTTCCCTTTCTGGTGCCTGAGGTTGGGCTGTGCCTGGGATCAGGCAGCCACAGATTCATAAGAAGCATGCTGATTGCTCAGCCATGCTGCTCTCCTGGTTGCTGGTGCTTCACCTGCGCCCATCCAGTCACACACCCATGCTCATATCCACATACTCCCTCTCTCTGTGCCACACCCACACCTTGGGCCCCATAGGCCCCATTGAGATTACAAGAAGCTGGGGCTGCAGGAGGTACATCCTTGCCCACTGGGCTGGGGTCTGCCCAAGGACCATGTACTTGTCTCCCATGGAGCACCTGCCAGGGTAATGCCCAACCTTCAGCCCTCTGTGACCAGGCATATCCCAAATCTCTCTGTCCAGGAGGCAGGTTGTGCCCCCCCACCCCCTGCAAAAACCTCTGTATATACTAGTTAAGGTAACCTAGTTCTTTTTTTTTTGAGACAGAGTCTCACTTTGTTGCCCAGGCTAGAGTGAGTGCCATGGCATCAGCCTAGCTCACAGCAACCTCAAACTCCTGGGCTCAAGCAATCCTTCTGCCTTGCCTCAGCCTCCCAAGTAGCTGGGACTACAGGCATGTTGCCACCATGCCCGGCTGATTTTTTCTATATATATTAGTTGGCCAATTAGTTTCTTTCTATTTATAGTAGAGACAGGGTCTCACTCTTGCTCAGGCTGGTTTCAAACTCCTGACCTCGAGCAATCCGCCCGCCTCGGCCTCCCAGAGTGCTAGGATTACAGGCGTGGGCCACCCTGCCAGGCTGGTAACCTAGTTCTGAGGCAGCAGTCCTGGATATGCATGGGGACTTAGATTGGGGGGTGTGGTAAACAGAAACCAAAAAGGAGCCTAGAGGTGGGGTGGGGGAATCAAAACTACCTGGTTGGAGAGCAAGGTCTGCTCTAGGTGAGGCAGGTTAGCTAGTTTGGATGGGGCGGGTGTTGTCCCTGGCCTCTTCTACACAGGGCTGCTGCCTTCCATAGGGAGATGGGGGGCTTAGGATTATTGGAGTTGGAGGAGAGTTAGGTGAGCCAAGATAGGGGAGGCCAAGCTCTGAACCTTCCCTGAGGCTGGGAGAGGGGCATACCTTCAGTATCGCCAACCCTCCTAGGGGTGTGCTGGGTCTGCGGAGGTGGAGGACGCTGCAGAGGACCTGGGGATAGAGTGGAGGTGGGAGCGCTGATGTGTCCTGTGTTGGGAATGGGACTGTAAAGAGCTACTGGGGAGGGATGCGGTCGGTGAGAGCTGGGATTGTGGTGCACCCTTGGGCCCTGCCCTGTGATAGGGGGTGAGGGGACAGGGACACTGGGGCAGAGGGAGGTCCCTGTCTGACCTCTCCCCACCCTCCTCGTTTCACGCAGATGGCGGCGGCAGAGGCGGTACACCACATACACCTGCAGAACTTCTCTCGCTCCCTTCTCGAGACCCTGAATGGGCAGAGGCTGGGCGGGCACTTCTGCGACGTGACTGTGCGCATCCGCGAGGCTTCCCTGCGGGCACACCGCTGTGTGCTGGCCGCCGGCTCGCCCTTCTTTCAGGACAAGCTGCTGCTCGGTCACTCTGAGATCCGCGTGCCTCCAGTGGTGCCCGCACAGACTGTGCGCCAGCTTGTTGAATTCCTCTACAGCGGCTCCCTAGTGGTGGCGCAGGGCGAAGCGCTGCAAGTGCTCACAGCTGCGTCTGTGCTTCGTATCCAGACAGTTATCGACGAGTGCACGCAGATTATTGCCCGTGCTCGCGCCCCAGGCACCTCCGCACCAGCTCCCCTGCCTGCGCCCGTGCCCCCACCACTCGCGCCCGCACAGCTGCGGCACCGCTTGCGCCACTTGCTAGCCGCGCGTCCCCCGGGACACTCTGGCATGGCGCACAGCCGCAAGCAGCGCCAGCCTGCGCGTCTGCAGCTGCCTGCGCCCCCCGCGCCCATGAAGGCCGAGGGGCCCAACGCCGATTCTGCCTTGCCCGAGGACCCTGACGACCGAGGTGATGATGAGGACGAGGAGACTGATGATGAGACAGACGGCGAGGAGGGCGAAGGCAGCGGACCGGGTGAGGGCCAGGCGCCCCCTTCCTTCCCAGACTGCGCTGCTGGCTTCCTCACTGCAGCCTCTGACAGCGCGTGCAAAGACCCTCCTGCGCCCACTGGCCTTGCTGACTACAGCGGCGTTGCCGGTAGGGACTTCCTTCGGGGAGCTACTGCAGCCGAGGACGTGTTCCCAGACAGCTACATATCCGCTTGGCATGACGAGGATGGCGCTGCAGCTGAAGGCTGTACTGCCGAGACCCCTGTCCCACCTGACTGCATCCTGGCTGGACCACGCCCACCCGGCGTGAAGACCCCGGGGCCGCCTGTCGCGCTCTTCCCCTTTCACCTGGGCGCTCCGGGGCCTCCCGCACCAACCCCTTCTGCACCATCGGGGCCAGCTCCTGCACCCCCGCCTGCCTTCTACCCCACACTCCAGCCTGATGCAGCCCCCACCTCTCAGCTGGGGGAGTCTCCAGCCACTTCTGTCGCTCCTGCGACGGCCTCCTTAGGCACTCCTGCACGTGCCCCAGGCGCGGAGCCGCCCGCCTATGAGTGCAGCCACTGCCGTAAGACGTTCAGCTCACGGAAAAACTACACCAAGCACATGTTCATCCATTCCGGTGAGCCTGGGCGGGAGAGGAGAGGGAACAACCCCCTTCAATGGAGATTCAAACCCAAGGGGAATTGGGCATTGTGCGCAGGGCATTGCCGTTTCTGTTGCTTTTTGGTAACTCCAGGCATCCTGGAAGTTAAGCCTCTGCCCCAAGTGCAAGGCATGTGGAGCAGAGGACCACCCCCTCTGGCCAACAGGAGCTGGCTTTTTGGGGGGGAGGGTTCTGACACACTCCCCTCGCCCCCCAGGAGCTGGCTTCTGTGGAGCAGGAATCTTCTCTTCCTTTTTAAAATTTATTTATTTTAGACATGGGTCTCTGGTGGAGCAGGGATCCTGAGGCTGGGTTGGGGAGCAGGAGGGCCCCCCCACAGTGGAGCCTTGGAAGGGGTGTCCTGGCCAGGTTGGGGAGCCGGGCTCGGGGCAGCCTCCTGTGTCTCTCTGGATGCCAGCCGTCTGGTTATGGGTTGGCAGTAAGGGAGGGTTAGCTAGCCTAGGGCATGTGAAGCTGGCAGAGAGGTTGCTGGATGAAGGCCTCAGGAGCCCTTGAGACTGGGGCAGGAGGAGGAAAACATGGCTGCAGTGTGGGGACCCCACAGCTGCAGAGGGAGGAAAGGGCCCCTGAAGGCTGTGAAGATGTTCCCTCAGACCCTGTGTGTGTCAGAGAGGCAGCTCTGCAGAGCTGGGGAGAGGGGAGGTAAAGAGTGGGAGGGTGGTAGTGTGCCACAGGAAGGGTGGCGTGCTCCCTGGAGGCTGAGATGGAAGGCAGGGATATGGAAAGCAGAGGCCTGCTGGGCATTGTCTGGGAAAGCAAAAGTCTGGCTGGAATGCCATGTTGGGAGTGAGTGGGGGGGGGCGGTGTGCAGGGGCCGGAACTTGGGGTTGACTGTGAGTGGTGGGGAGGCTATCATTGTTCTAAGCTAGGGAATGACTGAGATGTGGCAGTTTAAAATCTCCTTCTGGCTGCCTTGGGGAGCATGGGGAGAAGCCAAGGGCTTGGGAATAAGGGGAGCTGGGTAATCGGCCAGTGGGAAGCTGCCAGAGGCTCCAAGGTAGTGCTGGCTATACAAGAAGTGTGTGACTTCTGTCACTGAGATAGCTGTTTTGTTAACACCTGACGACTCTAGAGGCAGACACAGCCTGCCTCTTCTCCATCCCATGGTGAGGAGGGCAGCCATCTCAGCTCTGTCATCCCAGGGACATTATAGTGGCCAGTGGGCAGGGGTTCTGGGCAACTGGGGCTTCCAGCAGGAAGGTGGCACATGTGCCCAGATTCTCCTTGTGAAAAGGTACTAGGCCTTGTCAGATTGTCCCCAGAATGATGATCTGAAAGTTCTGCGGGCTCTATGGACATGGGGGGAATGGAGGCTGGGCCGTAGTGTCTCCCTGTTCCAGGTACAGTAGGGATTGAGGGGAGGGTCCTTGGAGGAAGGGGAAAATGAATGGGCAGTCTAGATGGGCAACAGATGTTCCAGACGAGCAGCGTTCCCTTCTGGAAAGGTACCTCTTGGATTTAGGGGGACCCTGCCAGGCAGTGGTATCCCAGAATGACAAAAAAGAGGTGTCCCTGCCAGGCAGGGGTGGGAGAGAGGTACTTAGGCATGTGTGAGAGTCCCTGGTGAACAGAAAAGTCCCCATGTGAGGGGTGGTCGGGGAGTGGAGGGGTCGTCCCTGCTGGGTAGGGAGATCCCAGAGTGAGGGGAGGGTTTCCTGATAGGTAACGGATCCCCGGAGTGATGATTTGGGAGGGTAGGGGAGCCCCTGCCAGGTACAGGCGCCGAGTGGGTGGGGAGCTGTAGATCTGACTTGCGTTCACTGCCCACCCTGTCATCCGCAGGGGAGAAGCCACATCAGTGCGCCGTGTGCTGGCGATCCTTCTCGCTGCGCGACTACTTGCTCAAGCATATGGTCACACACACCGGCGTGCGCGCCTTCCAGTGTGCTGTCTGCGCCAAGCGCTTCACACAGAAGAGCTCGCTCAACGTGCACATGCGCACGCACCGGCCCGAGCGCTCGCCCTGCCCTGCCTGTGGCAAGGTCTTCTCGCACCGCGCGCTGCTGGAGCGCCACCTGTCCTCACACCCTGCGCCCTGATTGCCGTCCTGGGCCAGGCCTCGCCCACTGTGGGAGCGGCCACACTAGCTCACAGTCAGCCACACCCGCCACGCTCTGTTTAGCAGGCCCTCCCTCTCTCCTCACCCATTTCTCCTTACTAGGGCCCAGGCCACCTTACTCCTCTCCACTGCCTACTTAGACCCTCCAGGTGGTACCAGGCTGGGGGTGGTCAGGGACCCGGGCTGGTCAGAAACCAGACCACCTCTGAGAACTGGACCATTTCCAGCCTGAACCCAGTGCTCAGACTCTTGGAGCCTGTCCCAGGATTCCTTCCCCTCTAGGGTGGGGCTGGGGCCTGGAGCATGGGGCCTGCCCCTACCCCAGTGTTAGGCTGGGCGAGGTCTCTGGCACCCTACCCTCAGCTAGTGCTCCCTGAGGGGGTGCCTATGGAGGCTCAGGTGTACCCATCATAGAACGGAGCTGGGCCTCCAGACTCCTGCTCTGTAATAAAGGACTGTTGGCTGGGGCCTAAACCGTGAAGCTCTGTGCACCTGGACCCGCGTGTGCTTCGCTCTTGTAAGTGGGCTGTGGGTGACCGGGCTCAGCGTACTGGTGCTTGGGCAGCACCCATGCTGGCCCCAGGCTCTCCTGGGGCAGAGACTGGCTGACCCACGTTGCCACCCCTGGCTCCTGTTCTGGAGGGCTGCGGGGGCTGCATGTATGACTGGCACTTGGTTCTTCTGATGCCCTCCATCCTGTGGGGAGGGTGATAGGCTGGCCCCATCTGAGGTAGGTCTTGAAGAGGTCTTGAAGAGGGTCTTGATGTGGAAATCCCTGGTCACACAGTCACACTCCTGGCTGCTGCTGTCCACCATGTAGATTTCAAGGCTCCTCCCTTAGATCTTTCAGGCAAACTCTAAGGGCCTTTTGGACTTAAGACTTCAACCTCCCCACTCTGATGGGTATGATGGTTGAGCACCTTACTTTTGGGAAGCCCAGGGGAGGTCTCTGGCACCAGGTGGCTGTAAGGGTATATGAGCCTCACTATACCTGCTCTGGCTGCTGGGGGCCAAGTTCCAGGGTGTGGGGCAGATGTTGAGCAGCTGTGTGGGGGTGGGAAACAGCAAGGACTGACCACTGGGCAGATGGACATGGTGCCCCTCTAGTGGCAAGCCAGTGTCACAGGACCCAGCATCCAGCGTGGAAAGCTGCCCCTCTTCTCCCTTTTTCCCACCTCCAGTGCAGTGTGGTCCTTGGCCTGGGCGCCCAGCCCTAGGATTTGGAGCCCGTGGAAGGACATGCCCCAGCCCAATCTTTCAGACTCCTAGGCCAATGACAGCTCCTTTGTGATCACCCTTTGTGACTGCCTTCCAGAGGTGTGGGGCTGAGGACTTTACAGTCTGACCAGGCCATCATGTGCAGAGTTGAGTCTCCTGAACTCCAGGACTTGGTCCTCATCATTGATACCAGAGTGGGCAGAGAGTCAGAGCAGGCACATTGGTGGGGGACAGGGCTGGGTTCGAATTCAGATAATGCAAGTGTTAAGTATTTACTGAGCACTTGCTGTATACCTGGCAGGAGGCTGTTTCTTTGGATTATAGGAGGACCTCCTCGTGAGGTGGGTAGAGCAACAAGACATGCTAGGGGCCAGGTCCGCCTTGTATCCTGTTGTTTTTCTGTTTGGCCTGATTGGAACGTTCCCCAAGGACAGGGATTTCTGGTAGTCTCCCAAGTGCCTGGTGCACAAGAGGTTTGGGAGGTGAGGAGAGGGAGGCAAGTGCTAGCTCTGGAGGGTGGACTGGTCAAGCAGCCAGCAGGAAGGAGGCTGGTGATCATGCCCAAGGGGCAGAGATGTGGGAGCCCAGAAGCCAGCAGCAGAGCAATGGGGGACAGACCTGGTGAAAGAGGAAGGGGCTGATGCAGAGGGCACACAGGCAGAGGGGCTGGAGTCACACACAAGGCCAGCCAGGGCAAAACAAATAGACTGCCTGCTGGGTATGGTGGTTCATGCCTGTAATGCTAGCTAGCACTCTGGGAAGCCAAGGCAGGAGGATTACTTGAGCTCAGGAGTTTGAGACCAGCCTGTGCAAGTGCGAGACCCTGTCTCTACTAAAAATAGAAAAAATTAGCCCAGTGACTAAAAACAGATCAAAATTAGCCGGGCATGGTGGCGCATGCCTGTAGTCCCAGCTACCTTGGAGGCTGAGGCAGGAGGATCGAGTGAGCCCAGGAGTTTGAGGTTGCAGTGAACTAGGCTGATGCCACAGTACTTTAGCCTGTGTGACAGGGTGATACTCTTGTCTCGAAACAAAACAAAACAAAAAAAAACAAACAAACTAACAAAACCAACCCTGAAAACAACAACAAAAAACAAACCAAGCCTGACCTTTGGTGTGAGGGGGTGGTGCAGGGGGCAGAGTCCTGGGCACAAGAGCAGCCACTGTTGACAGTGCCTAGGCCACCACCTGGGGCCAGGAACAGTGATGTGGGGCAGAGCAGAGAGATTCCCAGAAGTCAACATCTGGGAACCTGGGGACAAAGGTGAGCCTGGGCTTTCCACAGCCACTTCTCAAGAGACAGCTGATATGATGGGTGTCCTACAGCGGCTGGCCTTTCTGCTACTGCTGCTGCTACTGCTTTGGGGACTGGGGCAGCCAGCGTGGCCAGCTGTTCTGGCCCTGGCCCTACGCTGGCTCCTAGGGGACCGTGTATGCTGTGTGCTGCTCAGCCTGGCTGTGCTGGTGCAGCCCTGGCTCAGCCCATGGATGCCTCACTGGCAGAATTTGGTGGTTGCATCCCTCGCACTGACCTTGCTTCCTGCACGGCCGCCCCCAGGACTACGTTGGCTGTTTGCTGATGTGGCCTTCTTGGCCAAGATCCTTCACCTGGGCCTGGACATCAGGATGCGCTTGAGCCGACAGCCGGCCGACACCTTTGTGGACTCAATCGAGCGGCAGGCAAGAGCTCAGCCTGGCCAGGTGTCCTTGGTGTGGACGGGGCCTGGGGCACACTCCATCAGTTTTGGCGAGCTAGATGCCCAGGCCGGCCGGGCGGCATGGGCCCTGAAGGCAGAGCTGGGTGGCCCCATGGGCCTGGGTGCCGGGGAGCCCGCTGCCCTTCTGGTGCTGGCCTCCCAGGGCATTCCTGCTCTGGGTTTGTGTCTGGGGCTGGCCAAGCTGGGCTGCCCAGCAGCCTGGATTAACCCGCATGCCCGAGGGGCACCCTTGGTACACTCAGTGCTGAGCTCTGGGGCCCGAGTGCTGGTGGTAGACCCAGGTGAGGCCCTTGGAGCCACTGGAGAGTGAATGGAAGGGGGCAAGGGACCACCTGGAGGATGGGGTCCTGGGAGGGGCTGGGCAAAAAGGCCCTTGCTCTCCCCCCACCCACCTTTTCAGGCAGGTAGAGTCAAAACTTACCATAACTGGAAAGTAATTCTGAGGTCACCAGAGTTTAAATTTTTTTCACACTGGCTATTTCAATTCTCTTCACTAAAAAATACTAACAATGGGTTCCTTTGGGATTCTTTGTTGAAAGCAGAAGCTTTTCTCTGTTAGCTACTCCTCTTTCCCCCCACCCCCCATCTGCAGGTCTCAGGTTCCCCCTCGAGACCTTGAAGGTGAGCCTTGCCTCAGTTTCTCCTCTGACCCATCCCTGCAGACCTCCGGGAGAGCCTGGAGGAGATTCTTTCAAAGCTGCAGGCTGAGAACATCCGCTGCTTCTACTTCAGCCATACTTCCCCTACACCCGGTGTGGGGGCTCTGGGGGCAGCACTGGAAGCTGCACCCCCTGATCCAGTGCCTGCTGACCTTCGTGCTGGGATCACACGGCGAAGCCCTGCCCTGTTCATCTACACCTCCGGGACTACTGGTGAGGGTGCCCAGCAGTCCTAGCCCCAGACTCTGAACTCTCACTCTGACCTGACCCCAAGCTTGACCTGTGTCCCAATGCTGAACACTGAAACCGTGCTGCTCTCTGATCTTGACATTGGCCAGAACTCTGACCCCAATGTGATTTGAGTGGTCAGTGCCAGAATCCTGCCTCTGTCTTTTTTTTTTTTTTTTTTGAGACAGAGTCTCACTTTGTTGCCCAGGCTAGAGTGAGTGCCATGGCATCAGCCTAGCTCACAGCAACCTCCAACTCCTGACCTCGAGCAATCTGTCCGCCTCGGCCTCCCAGAGCGCTAGGATTACAGCCTGCCTCTGTTTATTAAACAGCGAATGAAACCTTTACTGACCTTTGGTCTTGACCGTTACTCCAAGTCCAAATTCAGCCTCTGAACCCAAACACAAATGCCCACACTTGAGCACCCTCTGAGAGCCTCAACCCTCCCCTCCCCCTGTATAGCCCTGACTGCTGGAGACGCCCTCTCTTCCATGCTGTCCTTTCCCTATCCCACCATTCCCATTCCTTCATTCCCCAGGCCTCCCAAAGCCAGTCATCCTCACGCATGAACGGGTACTGCAGATGAGCAGGATGCTGTCCTTCTGTGGGGTCACAGCTGATGATGTGGTCTACACAGTTCTGCCTCTGTACCACGCGATGGGGCTTGTCCTTGGGGTCCTTGGCTGCTTAGAGCTCGGTAAGCCCTTCTCTGAGAATCCTTCCAGTCTATGGGACTATTAGAGTTGAGTGTCAGGGTGGGGCTGTCAGGTGAAACATCTAGCATCCTGGGGTCTCACTTTTTTTTTTTTTTAGTATAAGTAGAGTTTATTTGGGCTAAGTTTGAGGACTGCAGTCCTGGAGCATAGACTCAAGTTGCCTTGAATATATGCTTCTAGTCTCATTTTGAGTGGGGACACATGGACAGAGGCTTGGAGACCCAGATGGTCCCTAATGGCTGTGCTTTGGTCAGGAGGTAACAAGAGCTAATATGAGTAATGGCTACCAGCCTTCAGGGTAGCTGGGGTGCTCAGGAAGTGATGGAGATGCTGATTTGTGACACCGCCCAAGGAGAAGCTGGTGAGGGAATGCCCCACAAGCACTCCATGGGGCTGTCTCTCTGGATACCTGCCTCAGAATTTAGACTGGAACCTCTGCACAGCCTGTTCCTTATTTTATTTTATTTTATTTTATTTTATTTTATTTATTTTATTTTATTTTTGAGACAGAGGCTCACTTTGTTGCCCAGGCTAGAGTGAGTGCCGTGGCGTCAGCCTAGCTCACAGCACCTCAAACTCCTGGGCTCCAGTGATCCTCCTGCCTCAGCCTCCCGAGTAGTTGGGACTACAGGCATGCGCTACGATGCCTGGCTAATTTTTTCTATATATATCAGTTGGCCAATTAATTTCTTTCTATTTATGGTAGAGGCAAGGTCTCGCTCTTGCTCAGGCTGGTTTTGAACTCCTGAACTCCAGCAATCCACTTGCCTCGGCCTCCCAGAGTGCTAGGATTACAGGTGCGAGCCACCTCACCCGGCCTGTACTTTCTGTTTTCAAATTTTTATCATGAAACGTTTGAAACAGGCCAGGGTGGTGGTTCACACTTATAATCCTAGCACTCTGGGAGGCCGAGGTGGGAAGACTGCTGGAGCTCA